TAAATTAACGTCATGAAAAGAATTAAAAATTTGTTAAGTTTATTACATATAACTTTATTTTAAAATAAATATTACATTGTATATAACAATTTTTTTTCAATTTTATATTTAATATTGAATGTAAATACAAATGTCAACAAATGTTTGCAATTTTTTTTTATCCTATACATGCACTATTTTTGTCCGAAATTAATTACGATATTTATTTTCAATAAAACGCCTAACATGACTACAAAAATATTTCAATTTAGAAACATTATAAATAATGATCTTTTAATATATTTTAAATAATAATAATTATAAATAATTACTTGTTGTAATTGCTTTTATTATTTCCGCATTATATTCAAAATTTATAATTATTATCAAATAGCACATTAAAGTTCTTATAAATAAAATTAATATTATAATTTTTATTTTTATAAAATCTTTTATATAGTTGAACTAATTATTGTTATTATTAATATGAATATTATTTTTCGTACAACTATTAATTTTATTTTATTATAATTAAAATAATGTGATCAATATTTTATAACAATAATGTCGTATAAGATAATTAATATATATATATAATATATATATAATTAAAATTCTTGGGTGAAAAATAATATTTTATTTATATGAATTATAATCTCATTATTATTAAAACAAAATTATTATTATAATAAAATATAATTAATTGTTAAAAAAATAAAAATATTTTTATTGCAATAATATGATTATTTTTATTTTAAATTAAATTAATTTAATATTGAAGATAAACTTAAGCAATTTCAAAGTACATACATTTATTATGTTGTGATACTTGGGCGAAGTGTTTAGGCATCCCAAATACAAATTAAACAGATCAAATGATTTTGAAAGTGATTGCGGAGCTTAAGAGCATGTCACAATGTGAGAGAAATAACTAGTTAAGTTATTTAGTATTATCTAGTATTTGTAACAATTATGCATAAAATATAAGAAAGAAAGCTATAGGTGGTAACGTGCGGTTCATTTATTATTTTCAGTTGAACTGAACCGAAGATTACTTATGCTAAAAAATCCTTTGACGGCAGCATAAATATTTTACTAGTATGTATAACACTTAAACTAAACTAAGCTAAGGTCACTAATTCTTTACTACTTCAGCTACAACCAGTCAGAGGAAAAGGAAACTATTTTCTATCTTTTCAGCTAGCCTTTAAGCGATCTGAAATAATCTTGGGTAGCTAGCGATAATTAATATTACAAACTTCAAAAGCATAGACTGGATTTAATCATACTGTCACCACAAACAACCGGAAAATCAGTGGATAATTGGACTCATAGAAAGTGATCACTTAAATCAACCAACTAAATAGCCATATCTGGAAAAAAGGGTGATTGCAGTATTACAGCTTTGGGTAAGGAAAAGCTTTTCAATTATGTTGCTACTTTTTTCATATCTGAAACAAGCATAAAATCGCTTCACATGAGCCAAATGACAATCTTATTTTATAAAAAACCTCTCTAATAGTAACTGTTTAATTAGAAAGTGCTCTCTGCTTAATTGTTTTTATATCTTAATCAGAGATGGACGTGCTATCACGATTTTATCTTGACTTCAAAGCTATTGTACTATTCATGATTTCGTGGTTGTATCATACTATCGAGGCAAATAATCTTTTTTTGATATTTTGAATGCTTTGCTTGTCCCTTTTCCAAATTAAATTATACACAAACTCTTTGATTCGACATTGTCTTGCTCATTCACTGAGTACTAAACTACACCTAGACTTTCTAACTAATTCAACTCTTGTTCATTCGCTTAGTAAATAGAAACTAAGCATAATAGTTATATCTTAACTAACAGATGCATTGCTGGCAGTGTAACCAATACATAAAAATCGCTTAATACAATAAAAAAGAAAAAGTAGCTTTTTAAAATTCTCTTTATTCATTGAGTATACCCAAAATATGTATATTGGTAAGGACATAACAAGAAAATTCGTTTCACTAAAACAATAATTAGTAAGTGCATCTATAATAAAAAGGCAAAAATTTCGGTATCTTTGAAACATAATTTTGTTGGTGAACATTCAGGTGAAAAGGATGTTTTATAAATTGATTCTGGTCTATGGTAGATTGATTTAACACTGAAGATAATAACTTTTTTTCAAGGGTATTAATCAGTAGATTAAAGACTATAGATCTAACCGTTGGTTTGCGTCAATTTTATACTTGTAATTGTTATTTAAACAATACGACGTGAAGAAATATCTTCTTTAGGGTATCAAAATACTATCGATCAGATGAACATATGTTACATATCTACGCTTTCGTCGCATGAGCAGCTATAGCGTTAGAATGATGAAGAGTTCACGCATTTTCATTAACAAGTTTCACAACAATTGATTAAATATTAAGGTGGTTATTCAAGAATAAAAACGATTTAAATAAGAGAATAATAAGGGACAATTGATTATAATATTATTTATCTCTAATTATAAAAGTTCAAATATAGTTCTACGTGTCTGAGTGGTATTTTAGTTAGGGAGATCCTATGTATACAGGAGTAGCAATTCGGATATTGTGACAATCGTGTTAAGCGGGAAGATTTTTTAATTGCTTCAGTATATTAAATAAAAATAATAATTATTTAAAATTCAAAAGATTTATAGTACATTTATTATATTAATTTTTCATTTTAAATGTTTTTATTATAATTGAATTATAAAAATTTTTTACATTAAATAGTTTTTTCGTAATTATGTAAAATACGTAATCATGTTTTTTTTTATTATTTTTTTTTATTATTTATATTTAGATTACATTTTTTATTATTTAATATTAAATAACATTACCAAAAAAAAAACAACAAATTTCTAAAGTAGTTTTAAAATACTAGTATGCGGGAAGTTTGTTTAAATTGACTTTCAATAGGTTAATATATAACAAGTTAATTTATATTTTGTTAATTTTGTTTACCTAATGTTTTATTTTCTAATTTGGTTTTTAAATTTATTCAATAAAATATTTTTTTAAATTTTTTTTTGTTTTTTAAATTTTACTACTGTGCGAAACCAACGGTTGCAATATTATTATTTATTTAATTCTATACATATTTTATATATAACGAATAATTTGGTAATGTATTTATATCATAAGCAAGTCTAAGAGCTTCATTGATGGAAAGAGCTATGCGATTGCAGTACTGTTCAAATATGTTCATAGTGTATATGTATGTCTCTGATTTTTTTTTGGACGGAGTTCTTATAAAATTTTCTGCAAATTTAACAAACGACAATGCAATGAAATAGCTTTTATTATTTAATTTTCAGACTCTTTAAGCACATTACTGAACTCTTCCTAATTTTCTTATTTTAATTACTAAATCAATTTACTGAAGTTTTAATTATTAATCAATTATTGCTTGTGTGGTCTTGATACTTGCTACTTGGTTGATAATTTATTCTTAAGATACACGCTGTATAGTTATAGTTGAAATAAAAATTTTGATAGTAAAAATACCAGATAACAATTGAGTTCATAAACTGCATATAAAAAAGTTATAGAGAATTATGGTTTATTAAATTAAGTCAAATATAAAGTTATTTATTATCATATAAACATTCATTTTATTTTATGTGTTTATATAAGAGTATATAAATATATGTTATCAACCTCCAGTAATAATTTCTTATTTAGTATGTTTGTTATAATATATGATATTAATAGTTGCAAGTAAAACTATTAACATAAATTTGCTGTTTGATATGAAAATATTAGTGAAATTATTATTAAAATAAAACATGCTATTTGCTGTTGATAATTCGGATACTTAGTAATTGTTTTATTATTATTTAATTAATTTATTTATTTATTATAAGTTTCATTTAATTAATAGGCATATGAATAATTTGATATAGTTTTTCATTTTTTAAAGTTTGCAAGAATAATGATTCAGTATATATCTCGTGTAAACAAATATAATAAATATATTATTCTTTAATATAATATATATTATAAATATATATTATACTATTATATATTATATTATATACCTTCTTATCAAAAAAGAACGAGAGGACTATTTTTGAATTCCCGCACTTATCCAATCGGTAAATTTTTTTTATTTTCACGCTGGCAACACTATTATACACATTCTGTCAAAGTTTAACGCATATCGTACGATTAGTTTTTGTTTGGCGTCTATACAAAAAGTCGAAAATTTTTCGTGTGGCGAAAATATAAAAAAAAGCGTGAATATAAAAAAAATTACCGATTGGATAAGCACGGGAATCCAAAATAAAAATTAAAGTTCTTTGTTGATATATTATACTACATATTATTACATTCTATATAATATATTATATATTATTATATAGTTCTATAACATAAAAATGGTAGTTCATTATATTGTTAGAAATATCCTCAGTAATCCAGAGAAGTTTTGCAAGATTTTTTACAGGACCATCGAGATTTACATCGATGATCGATTTACAGGATCGATAATCAATACATGATTACTATAAAGTAATCATTGAGTATAAGTAATTGAGTATAAACTCAATTCCAACTTGTTTCATGTTCATTCTTATGTACATAATATATGAATCATTACTGGAGGATTGCTAGTAAAAGAATATGTGGTAAGAAAGTAACTGCAGAACTCCTGTTATATTAAAATTAAGATTTATTATATTTTAAATTAAATATTTACCTATGCTTTTGTTAATATTAATAAATATAAATAATACCGTGTAATATTGGGAATAGAATTTAAGAAGTAAATATACTCTTCACTATATAGAAGTGATCTAATTTTATCATAAAATATTATAATAAATTGTTTCTTTTTATTATTAAATAATAAATTCTGTTATGTTGCTTTTAAATAGCTGAGAAAATTTTTTAAATACGAGTAGTATTAAATTGATTCTTACATACCAGCGTAGAAAGAAAAATAAAATTTAAGCAATAGTATGGCTTCGCATATACAAACAATTTTAATTTGATTTATTTACTTACTTTTTTGCGGAAATATATAATAAACAAAACAGTAAAAGAAAATATAAATATGTATAAAAAGTAACATCGAATTAACATCCTTTTGTGAGCTTCTAAGGACTTTAATTGAATTTAAATACTTTCACGTTCCTTGCTTCACCATTACTGTTGCAGTTTTAATTTTCTGTGTTTCCCCTCTTTTTGATTATAAATCATTGGCTTTATTAAGGTTTCATATTTGTTGATATTTTCTCAATTTATTTGTTGTGATGTTATGTATACACTATGTGTCAGTAAGGATGCAAGATAAAATGTGGAGTTACATCTTAAGTAAAAAGCATTTTGCTAAAATTTATCCTTTAAGCAATTGCAATTTTAGCATTTATTTATTCTGAACTTTGTAAGTTTTTTTTTCATATAACTTTCAGTTCTATAAAGACGATTCTTAATCTTTCTAGTCTTATTAAACATTGATTACGGAATGCTTTTTAATGTTTCCAATGGGAACTTGAACTGCTATCACTGCTAGACGGCCATCACGTAGCGGAGCTAATATATGTGTATTACCAGGTGTTACCACAACAGTTTGTATTGGAATGTGTAGTGGAATGTCAAAAACAGGCTTAAGACTGGAAGAAAATAAACAAAATTTTTAAACGAATTAAAACAATTTAAAATTAATACGAAAAAAAAAAATTAAAAATGTTATAAAAGAAAAAATTTGAAATAATAAAAATAAAAATTTTTACTGCACTTACCCGTTCAAACGACTGACTGTTATATCGCCTGCATCATCAGCAACAACAATATAATCGGATGCTGTTGCCAAGCCTGTAACTCTACCAGATACATATTTGGAACCAAGACTTGTGCCATTTATATTATACGCATGAACGGAGTGAGAAGTATCATCGAGAGCACTGAAGACAATGTGACCTTAAAATAGAAGTTAATACAATTTTAATTAAACATTATTATATTAATATATTAAAAAATTAAATAATTGCATAATTAATTAAATATGTACACAAGGTGCATGTGTACCTTGGTCCTTGTCTATAACGAATAATATATAATAAATTATATAAATTAATCAAAGAAATTGCCTGATTAATAATTTATTAACGAGTAATCCAACTGATACCACGTTTCTTTGTTATCGGTCAAGTCGGCATCAGTCGAAAATGTAATTAATGCAATTTTTTTTTTACTTATTTTATACAATCATAGGTCAAGTTCGCAAGTGATTATTGCTAATTTGAACACACGAATATGAATTTTATGCATATATTATATACAAATAAAAATTTATATATATATACATGGAATTAATATTTGAATAAATTATACTATGTATATATGATTACCACAGACAATGAGTTCAATCAGATTTAAAAGGAGAAAAAAAAGGGATACTGATAACGGATACTGATACTGAATTTCCTACCAGTTTTGTATACTATATAATAGTATAGTATATGAATATATAAATCTATGCCTGAATATTTACAATATAAATATACTTTTGATAGGTTGCGTTAGACTTTTTGACGTAATAACAAATCAAGGTGTTCGCTATCAGCATTTAAAAAATCTCAATTACATTTTACTTCAGTGGTTAATAATAATTATTATTATAATAACATTTTATATATTATAATTTTAAAGATTACAGATTAAAAAATTTTAATATGTGTCAAAGTACATTCACATTAGAATGAAATATGCAATTTAAGAAATTATTAGCTCATATAAATTTTTATAAAACCGGCAGATCAATAAATTGTAGATATTGGGTGTTAAGGCGGGTTTACAGATAATATATGATTTCAGAAAACATATCAATGGTATAAACAAAAACGAAAAAAAAAAAACAGAAGTATTGTATGTAAAACAATTTTGAAAATATTTATGTTACTATACTTTGTAGATAATTAAATATTTCAGTATTAGATTTTCATTAATATTAGACTCATTTGCTAAATCTAATAATCAGTCAAATATTTAATTTTTGAAGCCAGGAATTATTTTTTGACGTATACAATTTTTAAAGCAAACATCTGATATATTTAGAGAATCCCATTTCGATTTACACCTTGTGTAAACCCATTCAAAGTGTGAATGGGTCATTAGATCGTGGTGTTTAATTAACTTTAATTAATTTCATACTCACAACCTTAAGTGCATGCCACAAACATGTTTCGTAAAAATTATATAGAATATTGGAAAAGGATAAATACATATATTCAATATATTTAAATGAAATGAAATAATTTTATAATAACAACCTTATGGACATGTCAAGGCAACAGCTCATAAGAATATTATTACAATATTATTACTACTATTATAACAGTCGCGAAAAAGATAAATATGAAATATCCTAAAGATTGAAAATAAATTATGAAATTTGTTTTTTTGTATGAAAAGTATCTAACGTGCATTTTTAGAAAATCAAGGGAATGAATGTGATCTACTAATCTTCGTTCTCACTGACCTTACGCGACATTTTTTATTCCTGAAGGTGAGTCGATTTCAACTATGAAAAACATTTGCGGAAGAAGTTAAAGGGTACAAGTAATTAATAGATTATAAAAACTGAATGGAGGACTGGATTAAGCGCTTTGATGAGCCTAATTTAAAAGCGACGAAATAAATTTTTATTGTTAGATAAGTTCGCGTTTTCTTTTCTTCTATTTAAAATAATAGAAGAATTTTTTTTTATCATCATTGTTTTTTAGCTATGCCTTACGGTTGGTTTAATAATAAATTGCCATATAACTTGAAAAACCTTCATGAATAGCATCGAATAAAATACAGGTATTAACATATTTAACACAATTCTATTTAATTCGAGTAAAACATTTTTTAATCCTTCCACACTATTAACTCTTTTGTTAGTGTTCAATATCTGAGTTGATCTACCTTCTTAGTATTTCAAAAGGCTGAGGTGAGTACCGTAGTACACAATTCCTAGCTATGAATCCCGCATTTCGAAGACTGAAGCTAACACTGTCCTTGATAATTTCTAACTATGAATTCGACATTTCGAAATCGAATAATTGAATCCACCTTACTTGTTAGTCTCTAGTTTTTAATCCAAATTCATAGTAGTACATCAAAGCTATGTCGATAGTAAACAAGAGTAGCATAAAATCGTTTTATTTTTTTTTTAAAATACTTTAAATGTTACTGATAATGTTGTATTAAAATGTGTTTTTAGTTTATTCATAATAGATACTGCACCCATTTCTTATCACAACTTATAACATCATAAGTTATTGCTTTGCTTAATGTAATTGCTAAAGCTTCTATTATTTTAGTAATAGTACATTTACATATTAAACTATTACTAACAATTGCACTAAAGGCATGGCTTAAATGTCTTCTGTCAAAAAAACCTTCTACTATATCTTTCTTAGTCAATCGAAGTTTTTGATTGATTGATATTCATGCAATTAAAGATTTCCTTCAAGGTTGATAAACTCACTTTTAATTAAGTCAGCTCACTGATAATTGACTGTTTTTCAGGGAGTAGTTTTTTTGTCTTTAGTTTTTTTTCGTACAAGGAATTCAGTCGTTGCACTATATATAATTTTCTCTTATTGTCATAGTAACGAAGTTCCAATTAGTAGATAACTGAAGGTTTGGCCACATGAATAATGTAATCTAAGAGTCAATATTAAATGGTTTGGAAATTAAGAATAAGTTGATACAAAAAATGAAATTTTAAGTATGTTCTTACAAATTACGAAAAATTAAAATAGTGTTTAAGATATAGTTCCACTATTGATAAAAAAATGGCGTTCCTCAAAGTTAGTAAGCAATCTAATTTCATTTCTACGTATATAGATCAATCAGCTACGCTGTTATTTTCAGTTTACGCTTTTTCTTAAAACGTTTATTTTATCATAATTTCTTAAGACATAAATGTATTGCCTCTAATTAATATTATAGTTCTCATATATAGTATAATGGAAACTTTTATTGCCACATTTCACACTGAACACATTTCGGGAATATTTATGATGGGTGCGCAGAAATCAGTGAAAGCTATTTTGTTATAAATTCCAAAACGTAGAATATGAAATTTAAGTTTTGCTCTACTAGACTTATTAATTTTCCATTTCACATATACATATAAAAAATTTTTTGATTTATGTGACATAATTAAAGATAACTTATCAGTTTCATATTTACTACGGATGTAAAATATTTTAGATTGGGTAAGGCTCTTTAAATTTTAAGTGTCAACTCTTTAAAAAGCTATAATACGTTTTTTAATGGCTCCTAATTATACTGAAATTACTGAATAAGTGATAAGGTTCGTCTAGGCGTTGAAGCACTAAACTCACGCATAGCACTTATCTTGGTTGTGCTATAGAAAACGACAAGATCTAAAATACCGCAGACAACCTATGACTGTGCACACTGAAAAGTGATAGGCCTGCACAGTGGCGATATTGAGTCCGTACTTTCGATAATGCGTTCTTCGAATGTGGAACAAGTGTGACAATGTGGGGAATGAGTAAAGAAATGAAAAATTTGCGCAGTTAAAATTGTGCGGAGTATCACTTGTTCAGATAGCACTGATAAAGCTGATTGTCAAATAATAATTTATTTGACAATTTGTGCCAATTCAGAAATTCTTCCATAAATCAAATTCGGATTCTAACAACTCGAATGTGAACACGAAATATGCAGCAGCAATTAAGCCAAATAGACAATTTTTAATGCGTAATTTTTAAAGGGAATTCAATTAATTTCTTAATTTTTTTTTTTAAATATTATTTAACATTTTTTGTATTTATTTATTGATAAAAATAAAGCACACAATCAGCTTTGGAATGTCAAATTAGTAACGTTAAGAGCGAACATTGATTGATCAACTATACAACAAACATTGGAAATATTTAGCGGATGAATTCATTTCTAAAGCATATTTCATCAGTCAAATCTAAAGCGGAAATCTGGTATTAATTCAAATAGAGTGAATACGAAAAACCTTAGTAGCACTAAAATTTTTCAAAGAATTTTTAACTTTGGGGAAATCCTAAATATAATTCATAAATATTTCAGGAGTGACGGTCAAATATAAATTATGTACTTTTTACAATTATATTCTACTGAGTCATAAAACAACCTTTGTACACGTAAATCCATTTATTGATTCATTTTAAAAATTATTTTCAATAATGGCATTATACTCTAATATTGAAAATAATGGCGTTTTCGATTAGTAAATCAAAGGCAAATTTTTTTAATCGAGATGCTCTTTTAATGTTCTTTTAGTGCAATTTTCATTTTTGATTCTTAAATCTGGAGAGTGTGTTATACACACTTCAGATAAATTTATAACACTCTAGATATTTTGTCACAGTAGCAAGATTACCCTGAAATAAACAGGTATTTTATATTATTTGACAGACAAACGGTGAATTGATTCGATACATGCATTAGAAAAAAAATATAAATGTCTACTAATACTACTATAGATATATAAGATTATTCTAAAAATGTTCGATTGGGCAAAAAAATTCGACAGATCGGGAGCAAATATAGATTGAATCCAAATTTACTAATAGAAAACGAAATAAATCTAATAATAATTAATTAAGTGAACACAACCAAAAAATATATTTTCTAGACCGTTCACCTTTTGACACCTCTTAAGTGGTTGTAACAAATCTAGTCGCGGACGCTTATTTAATAAATTTTGAGTGTCAACTCTTTAAAAAGCAACAACAATAAAGTACATTTACTTAAGCAAGCTGGATGATCGTGAATACCCCTTATAAGTTATTAGTTCTTTCTTATTAAAGCAAGGACTACAGAGTTCATATGACAATATGAAGATAACACCATAGAATAAGAAAGAGCGATTATTTATCGAGCTTCGTTATACGGCTGTATTATATGTAAATCATTTAAGGAAG